TTTTAGCTACTAAGGAAGTGGGTTCACAGGATAGCTGGTTCAAAAGATCCTCATTTCTTGCATCTCCCTAAGTGCTTTAACCTGTAAAGCTATGAAAGTTACCACATATCCAGGCACAGCACTTCCCACAATTAGAAATGCTGTTAATCTGTTTTTTTGTTCACAATCAAAAAAAGCTTATAGCTTTCCAAAAATAAAAACTGTAGTTATAATATAGCTTGCAGTTGTATGTTTTGTACATATTTGGGATTACCAAAAGCTGTCTTTTCATCACCATCTTTCCAAACCTTTTTCAAACCTAAAATATTAATTTGTTTAGCGCATTTCTACAGCACTTCATGTTCTGGAATGCAATAAGGCTGTGTGACTTTTCACTGGAGAGACCCTAATAAAAAGTAGCTACATAAAACAGATCATAGAAGGAACAGAAAAAAATCCCATAAATATTATATTTATAATGCTTGTGAATGTCCCTTTCATGGGAATTTTAAATCTAAAACATCACTATATTACAGCAGTTCTGACTGTTTATAGCTAGTCATTTCAAGCAAAAATAACCAGTAAGAAAATACAGCCCTAAATATAGTCTATTAAATTCTTCCTGCTAGCATTCTATGACAGAAGAAAGACGTTGCTTTCTTTACAGTATTTAACAGCTGATTAAAAAAAAAGTAGGACAAAAGTCTCTTTTAACACAATATAATTCTGCCTATTTTTTAGAAGACACATAATTTAAGATTTTCTTTCAGTATTAAACTGAGATGAAAGGACTTAAGAACTTTCATAATTTTGATATTTTTGTTATCTGCAACTGTTTGGAAAACTTAGAACACAGTGAAGACATAAAACTTTTGAAAATCCCATTCTGAATTTTTGTAGGCTTATTATATTACATACAAAAGTGCATACAAGAATTTTACCAAACCCGTAGCACAATTTCCTCACTTTCAAAATGAGGAAATACCAGAATTCCTCTGTGTGTTTTTTTTTTTTTTTTACTTTTTATGTTGTGTTTCTGATTCCCAATTTTTATATGCATATATAGCTTATAGCCTTTAATATCACGGTCACATACTTCATTTTCCTTCAGATCCCAAAATCATCAGTGCCCAGAATAGCCAATGAACAACTAATCAATATTCCTTTTAATCTCTTTTATTCAACATTAAACTCAGACACCATTGATCTTTTGGGAATCACAAACAACAGTTTCACATAAAGTTTGGAGAAAAGACTTAATTATAAAGCCTTGTGCATTTTCTCTTCTCTCCTTTCCCTTTTCTTTTCAGCTCTTGCCTGACATCAGACTCGTCTCACCTCCTCTCAGGTCCTGTGTTTGTTCCACTCCAATGAACCTCAGCCCTGTTACCCGAAGTGTGGCAGCACACGTCTTCAAACACGAAAACAGAACTGTGGCTCAGAGTACAGACAGCTCCCTCAACCAGCTTGACCCTCAGCTGTCAGAGCAGTGTGCACACAGGGCAAGGGGTGGGAACATAAAGCTAAACTGCTCCTCCCAGAGCAGGACTTGGGCAATCCAGAGTGAGACTGGATTAAGTTGCTGCTGAACTACACTGTGAGTGACACAGGAACTTGCCCTTCCATGGCATGGGACGGTGTCATTAATCCATGCAGAAAGAGAATGGAAACACACTTATGCTGAGAATATCAGGCTCCATCCGTACCAAAACTTTGTAAATCTTGCTAAAATCTCTTTGTCCTTCTGTCTGAACACTGACAATGCCTGAATAACAGAAGAGAGGTAACATGAAACAATTTATTACAACTTGTAAACAAATTTCCATAAGATTTTTGTTTTGGGAGGGTTTTTTATTGTTGTTTTAGGGGGTTTTTTGCTTGTGGGGTTTTGGTTTTTGGGGGTTTTTTGTTTGTTTGTTTTTTTTTTTAACATTTATACAAGGCTTAAATGTATTATAAAGTTCTTATGCATCCAATCCAGCTGTACAGTGCCCTCTGTGGTAATCTCCTTGGCTAAACACAAGCTCAGAGACCAGCACAAAAGAACAGGATGAATCTGCAAGGTGCTCTGTAACAACAGGTACCTTTAGCTGTGACCCAATGCTTAAGAATTACATACCATCTTTCTCAGGCTGTCTTACTAATGCTTCCTGTTCTTGCTTTGTATTATGCAGCTCTCTTAAACCTATATTACATTATATCTGCAGGAACATACACACAGATATTTGCTAAAAAAAGGAGTTTGTTTCAACTCCTACCAGCTAAAAAGCATAGAGTCCACTATGCACTGAGCAATACCAGTAGGTAAATGGACATATATAGACTTCAGGAACAGAAGTGTCATTAAATATATATCAATGCGAACGTGTGAAAATACATAAATATGTGAATAGTTGTACAACCCACACTTCCCCACTAGATTCTGCAGAACAACATAAAATAATGCCCAGGTATCGAGATGATGAACAACTGCTGCACTTATTTGTCAGTCAGCAGAGCTGTGGGAGGCAGGAATTAAAGGTGAATTTGAAACAGGAAGAACAAAGGAAAAGACAAATTCCATCTACAGACAGCATGGCATTGCTCTGCTGACCCAAGCAGAAAAGGGAACAAGTTGCAAATTACCAGAAAAGGAAGCCATGTTATATTGGCATTAGTGGTCTTTCCACATCACACAAAGTTTAAAGTATGAATATACATCAGATTTAAATATTCATACAACATGTTAGAAAAATTCCTTTATGTATGGTAATTTACACAAACATACACATGAACAGAAAAAACTCTACAACTACATGTATCACTAAGCAGGATACTCTGTAGATTCTCATATTAACACTTGCATATGTATATATGATACTTCCAAACATTTTAACATTTTTTTCCCTGTCTACTTCTTTAAAACTCACAAAATATAATAAAATTCACTTTTAAAACTGCAGAAATTGCCATTACTTGCTTGCTCATAATCATCTTTTCCCTGTCTATTAGAATCACTGATGCATTAGTTGCTTATCAAAACTTGAAACAGTTCATGAGTCATTTCAAAGATAAAATAAATAAATATTAATGAGCCAATTTCAATGGAATTCATGTCCTCTGCATCTTAAAGCTGAAAAACTGTATTTATTACATGTCAGAATTGTCTTGATACCTAATAAATGGGAAAATATGAAATATGAAATATACCGACTAATTAGATCACCATTGTTCAAGGGATCATTGCATCATAGTCTTAGTTGGTCAAATTAAAGATCAAAGAGAGAAAGGACTGGTCAATTAAAACAAATTAACTGAAAGAGATGTTTAGATCTGATGCAGCTTGAGTGAAAAATGAAGAATTTAGGGTAGAAATTTTGGAAGTCATTCTATATCAGACAATCTTAACAGAAGTAAACACATGATCTTCAAACAAACACATTGGTAACAAATATCATTACATAAGAAATTTTAGTGTTCTTTACATTATATGAAGAAAGGGGAGAAGAGAGGTATAGAGTTTTCAGGAGTAACAAAATAATTTTATTTTGGATCAATATGAAATTTTCATTAAGCCAAAACACTAGGAGGAGGGCTCTTCATCCATTTAATTTTTCTTACTAAAATTCAGTGAAATACACTATTTTGGAGTAAAAACTTTCATTTGGAAAACATAAGTGCGCTGAGGGACTTTCAAGTCTGGGTCCATGACAGTTCACTGCTGAAAATTCAAGTCTAAAACTTTTCAAATTAAATTACCCAGGATGAAATAGGAAACACAAGTCCTTCCCTTGAGCCTTTACTTGCTTGTTCTAGCTTGTTCCTGAATATTATAGGCAAAAAAGATCCCACAGAAATCAAAGGAGCAACAGGGTATATCCCTGAAAGGCAACTGTAGCTCTCAAATAACTTGAATTAGACATCAGTGAACCACTTATGAGCCAAACTGTTAGTGAAAAACCTTTTCCAAAAAAAAAGACGTTTTTTCTCAAGAAGTTCAGCAGCAGGATATTATGGTTCATGTAGCTGGCTGACATAATGCAGTTAAAATGGGAAATTCACAGACTGAGCAATTTTCCAGTTACTCAGTGACTAAGCAGGATGAAGAATCAGTTTTAATAGACTCTGAGTCTTAGTAAGAAATGAAAAATGCTTTATTTATTATATTAGGTCAAGTTGTTTACTGTCAGAGGTCCTGTCAGCTGCTTAGCAGAAGAAACTGCTTCAACCTCACGTACTGAGGCAGGCTAGGGCAGTCCTAGAAGTATTACTGCACCTCAGCTGAGGCCACACCACAGGGACACTCAGACACCCTCTTCAGACCAGTGTGTACCGTGAAACTAAAGACATCTCCCCAAATCAAGTTATCCGATCCAGCATTTAACATAGAATATGTCACTGTCAGTGAAGTCTGAATGTAAGAATACAGAGAAAAATACAATTACAAAACATAATATAGATTAAAAATAATACATGAAAAATTCAAATTTTGGTACTTAAACTTCATAAATTAGAATATATACTAGGGTTTTTCCTAATGTGTAGGTAAGTAGTGCACACTTTCCCTAACAGTATCTTAAAATTCTTCATGTCATGCATTTACAGCTAACAGAGCTCTCACATAACTCACTTTTTCTCTCAAGTATATGTAAGGAAGGACTCAGTTTATGTTACAAATGAACTGTGCTACTTCCTCTGAAACCTAAATAATTATGGAAATAATATATGCAAAGTCACAGGTTCTCTAAGGCAGGCCAATAGTATGTAAAATAAGGATTGCTTAAATTTATCATTCCCAAATCTTCATTCGCGAAGCCTAGCCATGAAATTTATCATTATCTGCGCACAGGATAGCAGTGAAGTGATTAAAAATTTTTCTTATGTTCATGAAAAACATTTTTTGTGCTCCTAAAAATTGCATTGTCAAATGAAGCTGAATTCAGATACAAACATGTTCCTCACCATAAAAATGGCCAAACAAGTAAGAATTATCAGTCGTACTTTTCCTGCTTTCACTGAGTGTATATAAACCACCTTCTTACCTGCTCAGATAACTCTGGCCCATGGATATGAGCCTGCACCAGAGCATCATTAACAAGCAAATGAAAGTTGAGAAGCACGTGCTCAACGTCGCGTGTTCCACTCATGGTGCTTGAGAGCTCCTCCAGGGACCGAACATATCCCCGCCAATGAAGATCAATCTCTGCTATGCTGGCTAAGCAGCCTCGGAGGATGTTGAGGCAGTAGCCCATGCAGGGCTTGCTCAGCATCACTCCCTGGCAGTGGGGGCAATACTGCATTCTCAGTAAAGCTCTGCTGCAGTCTTTGGAGAAATGCGGGTGATCTGTTGTATTGATCACTTCAATCCCCAAATTCAGAGCCTGCAAGAAAGTCCGGCTGGATAAGAGTGATCTTCCCATTTGTCCTATGGCCTTTTTGGGAATGTTGCCAAAGGGCCTGATGTCTCTTCTCGCCATTCGGAGGCACTCTGCATATTCCAGTGAAATGTCAGTCAGACCGGGGTTAATCACGTGGTTGTAGACTACTGGAAACAGAGTGTCAAAAAATCTATTGACAAATTTCTCTGTGCTAATGTCTGTGCCAAACACGAAGAGTCCAACATCAGTGAAAAACTCCTGAACACGCACAGTAGCCTCAGCAGCCATGTTTCTATATGCAGTGCAGAAAAGTGTGCTTGTGTAATTCTCAGCCAGTCTGATAAGCATTTCAAAGGTTTCTGTAATTAATAAATCAATCAATCAATCAATCAATCATTATTTTTAAGGTTTAAAAAATAAGAAATTAGAGTAATAAGAACTTAAAACAGTTACATTAGGACAACTTACATTTATCCCAAATGAATTTTTGTATTAGAATTTCTGAAGAGACAAACTTCTCACAAATTATGACAACTGTCTTTTGCATATAGGGAAACACTTTACAAATAATGTTTCGACACAATTAATAATCCATATGTTTTCTTTGCAGATTACATTAAACACAGCCTAAAAAAAAGCATCTCCTTGGATGTAGCAGTCCAGAATAGCAAGGACAAAAATTTAAGTCAAACTGATTCTTGGTCTACATGGTTTAAATAATAAAAGTGCGAAGAATATTAAAGGTTTATATGAAAATAGTTATTTTTGTAACTGTAAATTCAGTCCTTTACACAAATTTTGCCAATGCTTTAGATGAAAATTGTTAGGTAATATTAGTAAAATAGTGATGATTCAATAATCCCTATAGAATTACATTAATAAGGTTTTTATGACCCTTTTCTTTTTTTTTTACTACTACTTTTCCTAGATGAAAACATCTAAAATGTCTGTCTCAATCCACGGTTGCAGTATCCTGTTACCAATAGCACAAACAGTAGTTGAAAGAATAAACCCGCTGCACATGGATAATCAATGAATTTTACAATATCGTATAAACAGTAACAAATCTTCAATATTGAACTACATTGCCAGTGCCTCAACAAACCCCAGACGAATGAGTACAATAATCAACTGTATAATCGATTGACTATTTGTGCTTTTCTAAACAGGATATTATGATACTGACCTCTTGTGTTTACAATTCTGCATCATACTGTTTAATTGTCATTTTAGGATTTCTTACAAAATTTGTTATTCAGGTTTATTCTACTGTCACATTTTCTACTTTATAAACACCAAGGCTATTCTAGAGATTTGTTTTGCTCTCAGACAGTCTGACAGACAGCAAAGCAGACCTATGTTTACTTTCAATACTGAACAGCGCCAATAAATACCTTACAAGGGCAATCCATGTCATTTATAACACATTCAGACACCTCAGTGACAAATCAAGTTATGCTGGTTCAATACTGCAAGTGTATCATAGACGTAGCAATGTGTTTCTTTATCTTTTAAATCTATGGGCTCAGACTAACATAATCAGTCCTAATTATTCAGCCACATAAAATAAGTGCTGAGTTTTCAATCAGTATAAATCTAATAGACATAAAATACATTTTGAATATAACCAAGATGAGTTATACAAGCTCTTTTTATTGTTATTAAATGATTTTTTTAATCTGCAGGCTCAGTGCCTCTTATCTCCATCCTTTATGAGATCTTCATATTAACCACTATACAATATCCTACAGAACTTTCTGCAGTACTACTGTCAATAATGTCTAGTATTTACCAGAGATGACATGTCAATTTTATTCTTCTTTGTCTACAATTAAAACTAATGTTTGTACATTCCTAAGTCAAAAATCAGGGTTTCCAATATCTTAATCCATTAATTTTTTGAAAGAACAGGTCTATTTATCTTCCTGATTTTGCTAAGAAGAAACAAAACTCAAGGCTAGGAAAAAATGTAGATATAGGTGTTTTGTGTATTGCATTTATTCACCTGATACTTCATATCAGTACATATATATACATCATTTTTTGATAATAGTGTATTTAACAAAGTGATCACAAAGTAATGCAAAATAACTATCAAGTCATTGCTTTAAAAGATTTGCTCTCTTCATATTCTTTAACCTTTCTGTTCCTGAGAGCCATAGGTAGTTCTAAACTGCAAAGATGTCCCAGTTTAGCCATCAGTCCAGTGGATTACTAACTTTAAAAGAAAACTCAAAAGTATACACATGCCCTGTTTACTAGAAAAATTCACAAAGAAAACAAAAAAGAAATATTGTTTTTTATTTCTAGACATTAATCAGATTTAATGGAAATATCACACAGAATGAAATAGAATCTGGATTGGATTTAAACCAGCCCTGTGATTCTCATCTTTAATAGTTCTGGCAAAGTGTCTTTCTACTACAGGTACCTTGGAAAACTAATTTGAAATAAATTTCTATGAAACCATGTTGTTCTAAAACAACTGCATTTTCTTAAGTTTACCCTTTTTTCACATAGATGAATGTACTATAGAAGCTGCTAAATAAGCAAATGCATGGTCTAAATTCTGAGTATTACTTTTTGAAACACATATAGTACTTAAAGCAAAGATAATCTAATAAACTAAAAATCCAGTATTAGTAGTGGGCCAACAAGTTGTGAAGTCTTATAATTCAGCAGTAATTTATCAGCCGACATTAAATATTATAAATTAATTCACAGTTAGCCAGGGTAATATATAAAAATCAATAAATTATAACCAGACAGGTTAAAATCCATCCTTGAATTATGGATATTGTATTTAGCAAGACTGCCTTCCACAATCCAGAGGGGAACCAAAACTCGTGAGCCTGGATTACCTTAATGATCAGCCCATGACATACAGGAATCCAGATAATCAAATCCAAGCAAAAGCTGAAAAACGTAACAATAATATGAATTCATTTTTATTTGAAAAAACTTTATGGGAAAGTATTAACTTGTTGACAGCTGCCATTAATGTCTGGTGATTTCGTAAGTTTTCCTTCTGTTTATGAGCAGCACAAATAACCTAGAAGCATCAAACTCCCTCTCCTAAAGACTTATACTCCACTCAAATGCATCTTGTATACATTGTCCTACTGGAGTCATGGGGAATGTCTCAGTTAAAGTATACAACCTAGCTAGCAAAAGGCATTCAAAAATTGTGAAAAAAAAATTGTGGAAAAGAAATTAATCCACACAGTATTACATTCATAATATCTTTGTTTAAAATACATCAAACAGAGAAGTATGTATAGATGGGAAATTCAGTGTACCTATTCCTAACTACAAAGTAGTACACAGTACCAGATACACTGCAAAATCCCTGAATCATTTACCATATCAGAAAAATGAGCTGGAAGAATAATGTTTTCAAAATACATAAATGGATTACTAAGAATGAACTCATTAGGGCATTGCCTGTGAAGGTTATTTGGGAGAAAGATAAAAAGGATAAGTGTGAGCAGAATAGATTTGAGACTCACTAAAACTGCTCCTCATTAACACATATTTCAATTAATCCATTTCATAGATTGTAGACTCACCGCTGAAGTCAGTAAGAAAACAGGTGTAACAGATTAAACCTGTAGCACAGTCAACTTTGTGTTGTCAACTGCTAGTGATACACCTTAGGCTTTGCAGCCCAAAGTACGCATAACAGACTTCAGAATTTGTCATATCTTCTTTGGTCTTGAATTTATTTTAGCTGTCTTTGAAAAAAAACAGAAACATTTAAGAAACTTGCATTAGAATCAGTTGACCATTGTCTAAGTTGTCTGTGTTCCATGGCATATTACTCAGATATTCAAACATCAGGAATTTCTCACATATCCTGTGATTTTGAGTTTGTTCAGTTATACTGTAATTTTTTTTAGTTGTGGTTTGTGTTAGGGTTTGTATGGTCTTTTTAGTATCAGGAACTGTTGCACTTTGAAAAGAAACAGCAAATTCTCTGAAATCCATATGTAAGGTGTGCTCTCCTTTTTTCCCATAATGAAATTGTGAGGACTCATAAGAAATTCTTTCCCAAGTTAACCAACAAATAGAATGTAGAAAACATGTCCCAAAGCCAGATGAGATGAATTTCACACATTATTGTGCTACATCCTTTCCTGAGTCTGAACTGATTACGATACTTCTCATTCTTATTTTATAATCTACTTAATATCATCATCAGTGTTAATCTGTGTTTAGTAATCCTGATACCAACCATTTTGCTATGTGGAATTTGCTTTCTAAATCAACAAATTCAGGTGTTTTTTTCTTTTCCTTCTTCTTCTTGCTATCTATACATTCAAGAACAGGCCCTGCACTGCAGGAGGACTCAAGTTCAGCTGACCTGACACCATGATCTCCAAGTCTTGTAATTTGCTTGGGTTTTTTTATGAAATGTTGGAATAAATTTATCTTTTATCCAGTTCTCTGGAGTTACATTAATTTTTATGACTTAATGGAAGTCACCACAATTGATTCACAGCATTAGTTTTGAACTTTTCAGTGCAACTTACTGCTGTTGATTTTAAAATACCTAGCCTTAGAATCTGCTATTTAACATACTCCTAAATAGTAACTGGAATGTAAAGTATTTAATCATATCTTGATAGATTATATTTTAATATTGAATGACTTTCATATGAATGAAAGAATAAATGAATGATTACATTTATGAATATCATAAAGTTATTATTTTATCTAGTTGTCATCAGTGATTCCACTTTTCTCCCCAAACTGTGCTTCTTTTCTTTTTTTTCAGTCTGTTGTTATCCTTTTAATAGTGCTGACTATGGAAACATTCATCTAGTCATTTTGGAAGCAATATGAGTAGATTGCTTTGTATGGTGCCAGGAGAAGAAATAACTAGCAATTAACAGAGTTCAACCAAACCATTTTTTATCTCTTGGATTCTGTTTATGTTCTTTCTGATTTTGCATTGTTCCATGTATTTCACAGGCAATGTTTTCCCAGAGAAAAATATTTCAAAATTCTGATTATATTGCTTATTACCCTGGAAAGAAATACACTTGGAGTTGCAGGCAGACCATTGAGCGGAATCAGAGCTTTAAAACTTCTTATAATGAAGTTGCTTGGAAAATATTTTGATTTAAAATGTTGTGCATGGTTTGCCAAAAGGACGTAAATTGATACTGAGTTAAGATAACTATATTTACGCATTTGCCATAATAAAAAGGTTGGCAAGTCATCTCAGATGTATGAAAAGGGTATTTTTTGAAAAAAGAAATTCGTAGCAGGATGATGTTGGGATAGGAGGGTCAGAAAATTAATTGATTAGAAGGATAATTTCACTTCATATAATTTCAAACATATATATGATAGC